CAAATCCGTCTAGTTAGCGTGATCAAATAGCTATATTTGTCCTCGAAGATTACAATCTGGTGATATGGGGCAGAATTGATGGCATCGTGTATCAGATGCCCGTCAATTGTCATCCTATATTAATACACACACGTTTTGCTGGCTGGCAGGCTGCTAGTTTCACGAATGATCAAATAGTACAGACCCTTTATCAATCCACTGCTGCGTGAAAGCCTCCTCCTCCTCCTCCCCCTGCCCCATCGCTCCGTGGGGGTTGTTTGTCCCTACTTCGCTTATCAGTGCGGGTTGATGATGAAAGGGTGGCTCAGAAACCTGTTCAGTTTCCATTCACCACCGATGTTAACCGTGATCCGGGGATCCCAAGTCGGGTTGCCTGTTCGCAGCGCTCACTTGTTTAATGCCAATAATTGTCAATAATATAACGTATGCTTTGCCTCGTCTCGAGACTATTTCAGGAGTTTCCTGCGCTAAGATGTTTGCCTATATTTGGTACATTCATCATCATCAGACATCTAACAACTGCTAGATTAAGGAATGATTAAATCGTCTCATGTGCAGGAACTAGGTAAAATTTCGCATCAGTTGCAGTACATTATACACAGCCCAAACGTATACATCACTCGCCCTCACACACACCTACACATCTGTTTACTGCTTAAACTTAAACAGAGGCACGTTCCCTCATGAAGTACCTATCATTGCTGACATGAAAAAGCAAAGATCCCCCATGCTGCTAGCGAGCACATAAGAAGGCCAGCATGGCACACCGGGGAGGGTGGGTGGCCAGCACCACGCTCAACCGCTTTTATCTCCCCAATGCTGATATTTACACATCAGGTAATCGTTTGAGGCTGAGTCGACCTAGGGGACGCCCCGGGACCGGTTCCGATATCATTCGACAATTATGTTACCTGTGGCCGGTTCGTAGCGCACTGTACTGTGTCACCATCATGGACAGCGCGTTGGTCAAGGCGCTAAATAAATTAAAATAAGATAAGATGTGCACATTTCACGAACAAACACATAAACGCGCACACGCACATATGCATTGGCAGATATCTCAAGGGTCAGTTTACTCTGAACACAACCTTGCCCAAACACAACACCTCTCCCGATACCTGTGTACGTAACTCGCTGTGTCACCACTGACAATGGAAAGATAACTTTGATTGGCAGTGGCTACAATGGGATGTTAGGCGGTAGACCGAGTGACTGTCTGCCCCATTGCCAGGGGTTTTAAGTTTTAACAGAAAGTAGGAGTGACATCATCTCGTCCCCCCCATCTATCCTCTAATCCGATTCCTGGATGTAGTTAGACGCTTTGTGTTCCACTCCGACGTCTGTGCGCATGCGGATCGTCACAGGCCTGGGTTAGATTCCTGCCAGTGGCCCTGCTTATATTACAAAAAGGTCAAATAGTGGCCACACCTCCCGCTCCCACAAGTGGCTTCTGGTGGCAATAGTACATTAGGGCAGGGGTTGGCAAACAGCGTCTGTGGAGCCCTCACAGGCGGCTGTTTCAAGGACTGCTTCATGACATTATTTATTAAGGAACCACCGGTCTTGTATTCACCACGTGAATCGCGGCTCTTGAATTTGAGGTTTTTGTTTGGGTTTGTTTACAGAATTGGGAGGGAAAAAAAAATATCTCGCTTCTTGTTATTTTGGTTGCTGACCCCTGGGTTAGGGTCAACTCGGCCTAATCATCCTTACAATGATCCCAGTCATCATCATCATCATCTGTATCATCACCAATAGCATCATCAACGACAGTCATCAGCAACTGCAGTAGACAGCTACAGAAGTCGCAACAGCATCATTATCAGCAGCTGCATTGTCTCTATAATCATCATTGCCAAGTGCTTGCATATCATCTGTTCCGCATTATAATAACAGTATTCGCAAGTATATAATTACAATGAATAAAATGTAAAACATATATGCTTTGTCGTTTGAATACAGAGGACATAGTTTATCCAGAATACGATAAAAACAATCATGAACACATGTATATCACATGCAGTATGTCATGCTAGTATACGTGTCCAATTTGAACCTGGTAAACAAACACTCGGGTAATACGAACCTTGTGTCCTGAGTTTGATTCCAGGCCACGGCTAACATCAGTGATATATGAACCAGTAGTGCCCGCATCCCCCCTACCTCGCCTTTAACCTTCACTGACCAGCGTGATGAAGTATGGCCAAATGACACCCCACAACCAACACGACTTGGAGATGGGTCTTGTTCCCAGCAGTGGACCGACAAAAAGCAACCATAAATGGCGATGCAAAATACTACAGAGAGTCTCGTGTGATATCCAGCACATGGTGCTTTATCTGTCCCAGTGTAAATCCTCGCAACCTGAGTCGATCCCCGTAACAGATGCTCCCCTCCACCTTCCGTAATCCTCAAGTGTCTCTCACCAACGCGCATTGCCCCAAAAACCGATCCGTTTCCTTCATCTAAACCCTTTTCTCACGTTCCTCCCCATGCAGACTTCATCCTGGTTCTGTCTCCAGCTGCGACCCCTCTTGTACGTTGAACTTCTTAAGCATACCTACATATATCATCTCATATGCCATATTACCTTCGCTCTCATTGGACTTGAGCAGTTCAGTACCGATAGAGAATTAGTCGTGCAATGTCATTGTGCGTTTGTGATACCACAGAGGAAAACATAACGTATGGCTGACGTTGTTTATGCAGAATAAGTACACAATGTTTATTTTGAATACATCGAGAACAATAATAATTAAAAAAAACAATATGATAATAAATTATAAACAAAGATAGCCTTAGCTGCGAACGAAAGGTTATGTTGTGTTCGTGGTACAATGGAGGTAAGAGAAAACGCGGATGGTATTGTTTATGCTGAATAGAGTACGTTCAACAGAATAATTTACAGCGTTTGTCAATCCACTGCTGGATGAAGGCTTCTCCATGCGAATGATAAATAACGTGATATTCTGAACGCATTATAAACACTACTGGCCCTAAGCCCAAAGAGCAAGCCCATTCGCTCGCTCAAATGTGCCCCTTCCCAGACTTTGACACTCTGTAAACAACGCATTTCCTTTGCCAATAGCAAGAATGCTCAAGTTAAACATTAGCCGCAGCAACGCAACGGCAAAATACGTCAGACCCTGGGCAAATGAATCGAACGACCTCAAGTTGCCTGCATATACTGTGCCGAATGAAAATAACAATCTAATACGCGTTGATGCAGTTCGGCACTGGCAATTGTTGCACATTCGTGTACCGCTTTTGCCTGCTGCTTCTTCTTCGGCTTTGCGCGTTCACAAACGTCACACGCGGGTGAAGTATGGTCAAATACCACCCCCCCCCCCAAACCCCAGCCCATACATAACCCCGTGACTCAGGCAGAGTGAGGAAATGCCTTATTTTGGGTAGCTTGGCTGTAATATGTGCATACTCTAAAAAGGAGTCTCCGTTCGAAACGTTTTTGTTTTGTTATAAGGCAATGGCTAATGACGAATGTGGCAGCTTGTCTTAAATGTACAATTAAAGATTAGTATTGTAGTCAATATGAACAAAAACGGTGCAATGTAATGACATATCAACTTACAATAATCATAGGTATGTAACACGGGGTAATGTGCAACTATATGGCAACTCGCAACCCCCGCCGCTTCGGTCATGGGGATTGTTTGTCTATACTTCACCACGCTGGTCAATGCGAGTTGGTGAGAAGGGAAGTTCAAGGCCCACCAGATATATATACGGACCTGTATATTCACATACACATGCAAGTATACCTACTTGTCAAATGTAGTCAAGGTGGGAAAAAGTATAAAGCCCCGGTCATAGGAATGTGGAATTTACGAAACACTGACCCAACCGTCCACGAATGAAATTGTCACGGCCCCAGGCAAGTTCGAGATTAGGTAAATCAACTTTAAATACATGATTCATGTATCCATAATTGCTATTGTGCTCATTATACCCTGTTCAACACATCAAGGTAATTGCATCTTTCTCTTCTCGAGTATGGATTAACTTTGCTTATTCAGTGATGACTGTGGTGACTAAATCTAACGCAATAAGCTCCGTACTTCGTACCTTTTACAGATTGCCAAGTACACCAATGGCACTGTAATGTACACGCCAATATGCAAAGTGGCTATCTTTAGAAGTGAATGTCAAAACGTGTCAAGTGACTTCAATAGGTCCAGCTGTTATATGCTCAGTTTGAAGGTCAGCTTTTTTGACTCCACAACATGTCATCATTAATGGTACGTGTAAATCTCGATTGTACCATCATGCGTGCCATTCTCAAGACTTTTTGACCGCCTTTGCTACGTACAATATTGGGATTTACATAATATCATAAGTACAAGGACATTACGGCATTTAACACGTTATGCAAATCCAACTAAATATCTCTCACGTGTATACTATTACACAAACCTTGTACAAAAGTACGCATACGTGATGTACAACACACACCGCACTCAAGAAATTCTCATCTACATACCGTAACTTCACCAACCCGCGTTGACCAGCGCGGTGAAGTATGGTCAACGAACAGGCCACAATCAGCAACAACGCAGGGATGGCCCTCGTTCAGCAGTAGATTTTTTTAAAGCGGCCCTAACGTGTGTGTGTGTACACATTGATGGGATGCGTGAGATTCTAACACGTGTCTAAAAAGTCATGCTTGTTGAGTAAATCAAACGTGTTGGATGATGAGGCTTCCAATAAAACCGTGCGGTTTGACTTGACCATAATTCGCAAGGCTGATATATGAACACCAGATACAATGATCCACAAATAATAACAACGGCAGAATAATCACGTGGCTTTTTTTGTTTGTTTTGCAGCAATAAGAAACACAATTCACTTCCCTAAAATACGAAGTCACATAGAAGAAGAAGCTGCCGCTTAGGGTCACGCGAATCTCTATTCGTGGTTCACACAAGACGCAACTTTACTGCATCATCAACTTTGGGAGCTTGTAATGCTGCAACCCTCCTCACCTTGTTCAATCTTCTTCGTCGCTTGATCGCAGCGACTGCGATGGACTTCCAGACGACGATCTCCCCGTTTAAAAGTCACCAAAATGTATTTTTTTAACAAGTATTTATTCCAAAACAAAAAGAAACCCCGCCACAAATCTACCCAAAGACGATTGTTTCTTCTACGCTTGGTCAAGCGCACTCCTCTCCACCATCCCAGTACTTCATCAATTATTTATTTGCGACCGTCAAAATGTTGCTAGCACATCACCCAAACCATAACCAGCGGAAAGTAAATGTATCTATTTTAATAAAAAAGAAGCGAGAGATGAGAGAGATGTGATTAGTTTGGCGTCGTTGTTGTTGTTGTTAGTGAGCCCTCTTTACACTCGACTATATCGACTGCAGATGCCATGAACCTGGGACCTCTTTCTTAAATCCACCTAGAGACCCGATCTCCTACCAGCGATAACGCATCATTACTTCGACTACCACCACACTTTCAGTAAATACAACACAACAATGACCACATGCAAATGATCAACAACAACAACAACAGATCGGGCCACCTCCCTGCTACCTTGCGCGCAATCGTTCAATCGCAATGATGCAACATGAACACAACGATGGGTCGTAGAAGCGACGATGGTGATGATGATGATCGTTATTATGAGAACACACACCAGGTATAGCTGATGACTACTACTGCAGCAACAACAACAACCACCACAGTGCTTATGTCCGTGCGAAATCGCGAGGCTAGCAGTCGTTTCCCTTCTTCATGTGCAGCAGCGTTGAAGGTGAAATTCAATGTTACGTGTCCCTCTCTCTCTCTCTCCCTCCCCTCTCTCACTCACCCACACACACACAGAGGGCTTGTTTTTTTCAACCTCTCTCTCTTCTGCCTCTGCCCGTCTATTACAGCTGGCAAGATACACACCAGACACACACACACACCACCACCACCAAGCCACACTTTGCAAGAAAGCGAAGAGAAGGTTAACACACAGCCACGCACTCAACTCACGCACACCACAGACAGGCAAAACGGAGGCTTGTTGTTTTTACACCACAGGCCTCTTCTTCTTCTTCGTGTGTGTCCCCCCCCCTCTCCGTGTCTCTCTATTACAGCACGCCTGTCATACACCAACCACACACATCAGCTGGCGAGTAAGCTAATAGGATAACACAACACACACCACAACACACACACACACAAGCAACAAGGCCACTATTATCGCGGCTCACCACGCACATAGAAGCATGTGCTTGTATCCACACTTTCTCCTCTCTATCTATTCTAACCCCCAACAGCTATCAAAGACACCTGTGAAGGCCGTCAAGGTACGCGATGGGGGGTGGGTGGCCAGCACCACGCCCGACCGCCTTTGTCTCCCCAATGACGATGTTTACACACCGCACCAGGTACTCATTTGAGGCAGAGTCAACCTAAGCGTTGGCCGCGAGCGGGAATCGAGGTTTGTAGCGCAGCGCGCTCATCGCTACACGACCACTCCCCCCCCCACAGTTGTCACAAACGCACTGACCACACACACACACACCACACACACCAACCACACACACACCAACCACACCACACACACACACCACACAAACACCAACCACACACACCACACACACACCAACCACACCACACACACACCACACACAAACACCAACCACACCACACACACACCACACACAGACACCACACACACCACACAGACACCACACACACACACACAAACACCAACCACACACTCACCACACAAACCACACAGACACCACACACACCACACACAAACAAACACCACACACACACACAAACAAACACCACACACACCAACCACAAACACCACACAAACAAACACCACACACACACCACGCAAACACACACCAACCAACTACACACCAATCACCACACACTCACCACACACACCAAACACCACACACACACCACACACACCAACCACACGGGCAATAAACCCAAACACGATCACCACAACAACAAGCACCCAGAGCTTACTCCGCAGCCTCTATCCTCCCGTTCCTCTTCCCCTAACCCCGCACAGCAGCCCCTACCACTGTCAGACACACACACACAACACACAGCCTTGTTGTTGTTGTTGTTTACGGAAAGGCCCCCTACGTCTAGCAGCCCCTACCACTGTCAAGACATTGCCGATTCCCTAACCTACCTACTCTCTCTACCGCTGTCAAACACACACACACAGATATTGACACACACACACAGGCCGGTTTTCACCGAATCGACTCTTCTCCCGTCTTCTTTGCATCTCCCTGTTCTCTCTCTCTCTCACCCACCCACCCCTTTACCCTCTCACTGTCAATCCGTACGAGCTGTCACACACACGCGCACACAGAGAGAGACAGCATCAAACGCACAGGGCACCAAAGCGCTCTCTCACACACCCCACGCCACCTAAATAGACGCGAAAAACACCGACGCAGTTTAAAAATTCCGGCAAGCTCACACGTCTCTCGCAAAAAGAGGCAACAAAAAAAGGCCCCAAAAAAATGATCAGCAGCAGCAGCAGCCGCCGTGGTGGTGGTTGCTATTTTTACTAACCAGTAGAATGTGTCCGTCGCGGCGCCCGAGATGAAAATTCGTAACAAACCTCGGCCGCTGCTATTTTTAGGGATTATGGCCGAGGGTGAAGCCGGAGCCGAGAGAGAGAGGAGGCTCCTCCCACTTCCCACCTGACCACGCCCCCTCCCTCGTCATCACTCGGACACGCCCCCTACACCCCCCCCCCTCTCTACCCCCCCCCATACACACCCCTCCTACCCCCCTGCACCCCGCCTCGTGCTACCAGCCCCCCCCGTCACCACTCGGACACGCCCCCTACACCCCCCCCCTCTACCCCCCCCCCCATACACACCCCTCCTACCCCCCCGCACCCCGCCTCGTGCTCCCAGCCCCCCCCCCCGTCACCACTTGGACACGCCCCCTACACCCCCCCCCTCTACCCCCCCCTACCCCCCCCATACACACCCCTCCTACCCCGCCACCACCCACCCACTCACCCCAGCTCGTCTCCATGACAACCCCGCCCCCACCACCACGGAAATGTACCCCTCCGCAAAGTAGCGCCGGAGAAGGGGAGGGGTGGGCGAGAATGGTTGTGACGAGGTTTGTTTGTTCTAAGCGGATTGATGATAATGTTGGGTGTTGAGACGCGGGTTGGGATGCTTGGTCGTACGCTTGTGGCGAGTGGACGCGCTTTTAAAAAGCGTAGCTTTTGGTGGTAAACGTACGCACTATTTGCGGGACGGGGCCGCTTCGCTCCTTAAAATGCGTCAAGTGACGCGCGCTGACGTCAATGGGATTGGCGGGCGGAGGGAGGAACGGGGGGGAGATAAGACTTTGGACGTGTCCAATTTCATACGAGGGTGTATTAAATTATATTACGTGAAATGTATTATTCTCTTCCAATTAATACATTCCTTTTAATTAATATACTGTTCTTTAACCTCTCACTAATTTCCCCCGTGTTGAAATTATTTACATTATTTTATATCTTCCATTAAAATGTCAACCCCCCCCTCCCCCCCCCACGTTGCCATGTTTTTCTCCTCTTTGGTTTCGCCCAATCTTGATTGACGTCATCGGAGGGGAGGGGGTGGGCCGGGGGGGGGAGTAGCGTACCCCCCAATTCCCCCCGCCCCTCACAACACCCTTAGCCCCTCCCCTCACTCATCACCCCCCCCCACCCCATCCTGACCGGCTGGTGTAGCAAACAAGACCAGCACCCCCATTCCAATTCCCAAAGTAAGCCCCCCTATCAATTTAGCTGGGGATGGTAGAGGGGGGGGTTACAGCTGACCACAAAATATACAAAGACAAAGATGCCCCGTATAGCTTTTAACAGACTGCTGGGGAAAGTGCTGCACCTATAAAGGTCGGCACGGCACACTAATGGGGTTGGTGACAAAAGCACCACGTCCGGCCGCCTTTGTCTCCCCAAATGACGATGTCTAAACACCGCACCAGGTACTCATTTGAGGCTGAGTCGACGTAGGGGAGCGCACTCTACCGCTGCCTTACAAAAGATACACACACACAAGACGCCCATAAGCACTGGACATTGATGGCTATTGGTTCTAAACATTAGCTGGAAAATTACTGCACTTCCCTTAAACTTTTGTTTACATTTAATGCCACTTAGATGTGGGCGAAATCCGCTCCATGTCCTGTGGTGCTGTTGGATCATTAACATCACAGGCTCATGAGAGGTGGCAGCAGATTGAGGAGGCCTTCATCCAGCAGTGGATCGAACATGGCTAATGATGATGATACATACAGATACATGTAGGGTCCTTTTTGGAAATTCACTCATGGATGGATGAAGACCTCTCCCATGCATTGGGGCTCGTGGTGGTAAGATAGAGTTTAGGAGGGGGGGGGGGGGTTTGACCATACTTCACCAGTAGGGGTTGGTTGAGGATAAGTGAATATATTTGTATCTTTATAACCAGGCGAAAGTTATTCGAGGTTAAAGTGTTTTTACACGGGAGACCTGAACACGGAAAAATAATAATAATGTGGAAATGTCCGCGTGTTGAAGGACAAAATGAAAACAAAACCATCTCAAAGTAAAATAAAACAAGGAAAGAAAATAATCTTCGAAATACGATACATGTAAATAAACTATTTTTTTAATCACCAAAAACATTCCAGATACGTATACATTTCTTCAAAGGTAATACTACAGTGCCAGGACTATACTGTATATACATTTTTAAAACTGCTTTGGGGCTAAGAAATAAGCAGCAGAGGTCAGTATAGAAAACACAAATTGTTGTGCTGTGCTTCTATGCTCCTCGCCATTCAACCCGCGCTGACCATCTTAGCGTGGTGAGGTCTGGTCACATAACCCCATGAGCCCGCACACGCAACAGAGGATTGTTCAAGGTACATGTCTCTAAAGCAAGAATTCGTGGGAAACCGACTTTGAACGAGTAAAGGTAGGGGACAGAGGGCAGTGCACAGGACCCGTTCAAGATATCACTTCGTAGCTGATATCAAGCCTCGGCCGGCAATCAAACTCAGCGCCGCGCTAACCACTCCGCCACCGCTCCGCCATCCTACCACCACCATGAATTCTAAACTCACGTTCAAAGCGTGAGACACGCACGCGGAGAGCGTGGAAGGGAATTAAAAAAAAAACCCACGGTCAGTATTTTATAACCGGCCACAGAAATTACCCGCGTACAAAAAAAAGTTGAATCAAAATGCCCATTAAAAATATCGACCGTACTCAACATTTTTGCAGGCGTTACCGACCGCTCGGCGAGTGGGCATATAACAGGCCTTGGAAAAACTCTCTTAACCCCCCTGCCCCCTCCACCCCCTCGATCCCCTAAGCATTGCCCCGTCGCGTCTCCACCGCCTCCACGTGTTTACCAGTCGCGATAGCTCGCCAGCGTGTCACCGCCGCCCTGTTTAGACTCCGCCACAACAGGGAATACTCGGTGGGGGGCCGTGAACTAAATGACTCGGCAAGTGTAGCAACAGTCGTCCTTGCCATCTTGTGGGCACACCGTAGAGTGATCGACAAGCAAGCGTCCATGCGCGATCTTTCGCACGGCACGGGGCAGCCTTCCGTGTTTAGAGAACGGCCCCGCGGAAGCGGCTACTACAGAGTTACTTCTGAGATCACTTTCAGGGTCCACACACACACACACACGTTCCCTCCTCAACCGCTCCATCACATGAGAGTACAGTTCTGTGAAGTTTGTCGCACGATCGTCAAACGGATATTTAAATCACCAGAGGAGCCATTTAGCCAAAAGCAAATGATTGTGATTTGTTTTCGTGCAGTCATTGGTGGGA